TGGCTGGACGGGGGATTGAACCAGTGACCTTCTGGTTCCAGGACGACTCCCCTAACCACTCCGCCACAGCCGCCCCATATGTCCAAATGTCCAAACTTAGTCATTAAAAAAAAAAACTTCACCATCTTTGCTTTTCTTTTTAATTTGCTGACGGCACAATGAATTCTGGGATACCATCGGCCGCATAGGACACTCAGATGCAGCCGACATTTTCGGAGATTTGTTGGCCGCATGTGTAGGCGCCTACAAATTGGAACAGCCTACGTGCGGGGCTGGGATGTAAGTGGCCGATAAATGCGACCGACGTCGGCTGCAACCCATAAGATGAGACACAGCCTGTGTGGTCAAAGCGGGGAACTATTTTTTTTTATTATTATTATTATTTAAGAAGAACTTGTACACTCAAAACAATGTATAGATGTGTATTTTCAGTAAAAACTAAACTGTGTGCTACAGTTTAGTTGCAGCTGTTGCATCTTCATTTTCGATTGTTTAAAAGTTGCCAGCATTGAGCTATAAGATCTGCCAACAGATTAATCTGTCTCAACATTATTCCTTTGTGGTCTTGGAGTTTATTAATGCCTGGCTGTAAATATTTGACTTATTGACTGTACTTCAAAGTGTTTTAAATACAAAAACAAGAAACTGCCCCTCTAGAGACCATAAAAGTGAATGAATTCAGCCTGTTTCTCCAAATGAAGTCATTTAAAGTGCCAGCTACAACAAGTAAGATAATGATTGTTTATAACCCCTCCACAGAACCCCCACTTCACAAGACCTGAACTATCTGTTTGACCCAAGGGTTACACACAGTTCACACACACAGGAGCCAATGAGTGAGGCATGCACACAGCAAGAGATCAAAGCCAGATGAAGGTTGCATTCCTTACCTTGTCAAACAGAGACTTCCACTGCTGAGAGAAGGAGAGAGGAGAGGAGAGCAGGGTGAAGGAGTGAGTCAGAGGAAAGGAAGGAAGGATGAATAAGATCATCAACAGGTGTGAGGGAGGAGTGGAGCACCTGTCTGAACTGTTTCTTATCAGATTGTGGTGTGGCTGAACTTCAGGAGAGGATGATAAGTTGTAAACTTACGACTTCCTCTGGAGCGACGGGGAGGACGTCGGTACTTTCCAGGACCTCGATCTCCTCGCCCTCGGCGTTGGCCGCCACCGCAGGGGAGATGTTAACCGGAGCTTCCCGGGTTCCTCCGGTCATCCTCGGGCTGCTCTCCTCCATACACCCACAGGGAGCAGGGCGTTAGGAGCGACTCCACACACCCGCCTTTCCTGCTATCATCATCATCATCATCATCACCGCCACCTCCCTCCGGAAAGTAAAACATTAAATGAACGTCAGGACGCGCAGAAAGTTGGTCAAGTTTGGAAACAGGTTCAAGGTTGCAAATCCCACACCTTTGCCCGCAAGGGTTTTATTCCGTGTCCGTCAGCAGGGACAGATGTTTGCGGAGCTCCAAGTGGCACGCTGACGCAGGAGGAGCAGCGGATCCATCTGCGAGAAACAATTACATCATCCGGTGGTGACAGCGGCACGTGGACGGCGCACCGGGCCGGGGATGACGCACTGTCGGTCTCGTCGCGAGGCGCGCGGGAACCGGCCGGAGCGGACTCAACCGAGGCGCGCACATGGCAGACCCGAGGAGACAAGTTCGGACGTGCGCSAGCTTTTTTGGTGCGTCATGACACCTGGCACGCTGTTTGCTCCCACGGCGAGGACGGAGAGAGCGCTCCGGTGTCTGGAAGAGGTAATTAACCCTCTGATAGGAGGAGGACGGCTCCAACAGAGTCCGCTGCAGGGCTGCTTCGGCTCCGCTCCGTTGCGCACACGACGTCCTCCCAGCGAGGCAGAGAGATGGAGAGTGCGGCTGGGGGGGAGGAGAAATG